TTCACAATCAAGCAGAGTTCACAACTTCCTTACCCTGAAGAAATGGCCACTGGCCCAGTGGAGAGCAGCAGTGGGAGGGGACTGGCAGATTGAACTGCAGCAGACCAGAAAACAAAGTGCTATTATTCGGTGAAACTTGGGGCCTTGTACGGGCAGCCTCGTGAGCTACAAAGCTAAGAGCCTCTAGAGAGGCTCCGCTACCATGAAACTCTTTTCAGAGAACCACTGAGGGCTGCAATGTCGTAAGCTCAGCGAAGCAATGCATTACATATGCGGGAGTGCACATCAGTGTTTCAATGGATGCTGCTGGCTCTCGGGCTTTCTCGAGCAAAATCAAAGTTCGGCTTGAGCCAGCCGGTCGTTCGGCCTTATTCTCGCATCTCTGAGGCCCCGAGGCTGCCGCGCATCGCTGTAGGACGCGGGGTCCATGGGATCGATGTCCTCTGCACTCGAAGGGTCTTGCAGGAGCTCCCACATCCCCTCTCCTAGTCTCCCAGTCCTTCTTCTTGGTCTTCACCCCCGTCATCTCCTGCAGTAGCGCCCGGCGGAGCCGGAAGCTCGAAACGCTTTTAGCGGCTCGGCACGGCGAGCGGACTTGCGCCTCGAGGCTTGGCAGCTTCGCCTCGACGCCCAAGTCCGCCAAGGCCTAACCGAGAGCAGCGCATAGCGGAGCCCGAGGGATTTGGGCCGACAACAGCTCCCTGCCCGTTCCACGTTCCGACCGTAGCCTCGACCAGGAGGCCGCAAAAGAAACCGAGCCGGACCGCCCCCCACCGAGGCATGCGTCGGGCCGAGGCCCGTGCCCAACATGATCTCGATGCAACGCTTGCCTCCGTTTGCCTGCCATCGGCGGCTACGGCGGCTACGGCGGCTACGGCGGCAACGGCTTCCGGCCGCTTCCAGGCGCTGTGCTCGCTGGCCTTCATCGCAGTGTCCGCCGTCACGGTCAAAGTGCAGAACTCGGCCAAACAGGGAGGCCCCCAAGGACTTACTCGGGCGCTCACGGCTCCCCGGCTCCCTCTCCCTGCCTGGTCGTCCTTCAACTTGGTGCTTCCGTCACCTTCTCTTCTCGCTCTTCTTTGGGCTTAAAGAGATAAAGGCATGATGATCATACCTTCATACCTTCAAGCTTCCTACTGGGAGTTTCCGGGTTCCTGCCTATGCCGCGACCAATTTTGTTGCCGTCGGCATCACGCATCTTACCTCGCACTTGCAACTGCTGCTGGATCATCTGGTCAGGTGTCACGTACTCATGGCCTTTCTTGCCCTTGCCTTTCCCATCTTTAGCATCCTTGCCTTTGCCGTCCTGCGACCGGATGTCAAAAAACGCCCAGTAACACAGTCTGGAAAAAGATGACGCTTTCCACGAGTGTGAAGTATCTAGTAGATGCGCTCCAGATGACAGAAGCCCACATCGAGAAACTGTACCACCAAAGTGATGACATGAAGTGCAGGTTGTTGATGTTGCTAAGTTTGTGTGCATGGGACAGCACCGCCATGGTTTCTAAGTTCCCATCGTGAAATTCGACATTGGAGGTTCGTTGTGACATGGAGTACCCATCAAACGGCTTAGCACGGAGTTGTGCATCAAGAGCGCTTAAAAGGCAGCAAGAACATCCGTGTGTTCTAAGAGAGCCTCAGCAGGGCGAGGCCAGAGAGGCTGACAGAGGCCAGAGGCCAGCGTTGATCTTCGGATCCATCGGGTCAGGATGCGGCAATAAGATCAGGCTGTCGCTTCAATGCGACACCGGCACATCGCGTTCTCAGCACAATGTCTATGACACGTCTCGCAGTAGGCCCTGCCCGCTGTCAGGATGGACCATGGCAAGCATTCTGCCCTGGGCGAGCGGTTCGCAGAGCCACGCTTGAAGCTCCGATGTTTTAACATACGGATTTTTGAATAAACAACTATGTTACAAACAAGCACGATCCCCTTTTTCCTCCACCCCTCCACCCTTCCGTACTTGAAAGGGCGTTTTGGGCAGTCTGGGCTGTCTTTCTGACTTCGCCTCTCGTGCTTGGACGGTTGCGACTGCACTCGAAAGGAAGACGGTGCGCGACTTTCCGCAGGACGTCGCATGGCATCCTGGTCATGATCCATGGTTGGGTCGGAAGATGTCGGAGTGGACCATCGAACTGTCACAGCTGCGATGCGGGGACTCCAGGATCGCAGTCCAGAGGCTCCAGGCAAGAAGCCTTAAAAGCCATACAGCTCATGAAAGGATTAAGAAGATAAGAGAAGAGAGCTCAAAGACCGGGCGCCTTCTCTTGCCTCGGCACCTGGATCTCGCAGCCGATCGATGCCTGCAGGCATACCAAACAGAGAGAGGTTGGGTTGGGCTCTCAGACCCGCCGCCTTGATGATCTTCAAGTTCATCCCCTGCCTCCCGATGATCTTCCCAAGGTCCGTCCAGAGCACCTCCAGATCACCCCTTTCCCCGGTTTTCCAGTGGAAAGAACTCTCTGGGCGCACCCTGTGCTCTTCCCTAAACTTGGGCTCCTTCTCCTTCTTCGCCTGGCCTTTCTTCTCCTCGACCTCGCAACGCAAAACTGAAGCAACTCCCACAAGTAGAATCAAGCGCGACTCTGTGGCGACTGTGGCTTCGCACGAGCGACGGGTCTTCCCAGGAAACTTCGTTGGTGTTCATGTTCCAGAAGTAGAACTCGCCCTGACCACATCGCAGGAAAAGCCGAAAAAACGATCTGAAGGAAAGGGGATTCGGACAGCCCTTTCCGCTCCTCGTGTGGGACTCGCACCTCAAAGTAGGGGGTGGCGCAGGCCCCGCTTAAAGAGAAAAATCTCGTGTTGGGGCGGCCGAGGCGGCGACCCAGCCCGGGGGCAGCGGAGGCCCCGGTGGAGGCCCCGGAGCAGGCGGGGGAGGCTGGGGAGCCTCAGGGGCCGGCTCTGAGGGAGGCACAGATCCAGCCTTGCCGGCAGTCGGGGATTGCTGCGCTTGCTTCTCTCTTTTCTGTGGCGCCTGCAGCATCTGCCGCTTCGCTTCTGGCTCGGAGCAAGGCGCTGTCCGTTTGAGCTCCGTCCGTAGGACAGGAGCCGAGGCGTAGACCTGACACCACAAGAGAAGCTCAAAAAGGACGCAACACCTAGACTCTAGACAGAAGAACTTCAAAAAGGAGGAGCGACTGAGGAGGCTTTTTCTAGGCTTCTGCGCCTGCTGAGGTCTTGTCTGAACGGCTGCGGGCATTGGCGGTGCCATAACCTCTCAAGAAGTCTTGCAAGGGGCTTGGCCAATGCATGCAGTTGCACTTCATGCAGCCCTTCGCGCGCCGTGGCCCAGTCCGCATCGATGCGAGCTGCAGCTGCAGCCGCTGCGGATTGCGCCGCGGCCAAATCCATCGGGGTCTGAGTCGCTCTGATGTCGTGGCACGACGTGTCTTTTCCTCTTTTCTAGGGCCGTCACAAAAGAGGGCATCGGTGGCAGATCCAAGGCTCTGGCTTTCGCCTGCGACCGGCTCACACCGGCTTCTGAGTTGTGCCTTTTTGCTGCGTTTAGGGAGCGCGGATTCACGGATTCACGGCCTGGACGGCCATGGCAGGCGGGGCGGTGACCGCTGGCTCTGGCGCGGTTTGTTCCACGTCGGCGGCTTTGAGGATGCCCCGCTGGAGCAAGCGCTGTCTCAACTTCGCCGGCAGCCTACCAGCAAGGAACTCAGACAAAGGCCACTCGTCTACGCGTCCCTCCGCCTGGCAATGCTTTCCGGGGTGTGGCCATCTAGGCAGAGACTGAGGTAAAGGCAAGTACGCCGTCAAGTACGGAAGCTGGGTAACATACTGGCGGAGACGCTGCCTCATGCCAACGACAACATGCGATAAGATGCGAAAAAGCCATCTTACGCTCTTTTCTCTGCAGGTGACTCCCTCTTCCTCGGCCTGCCGGCGGTGGCTCCGCAGGCAGTGGCGGCGGCTCGTCTGAGAGCGGCAGTGAGGCCAAAGGGAGAGAAAACCCAACGCAGGTGGAGGACGTAGACTTTACGTGCCTCCACAGTCATCCTGCCATGTGCAATCGGTGCAATCATCTCACCTTGTCAAGCACCCCTTCGCTTCTGCGCTCGCCTCTGCCATGGCTCAGTGCGTCATACTTGGTCATGCCAGAAAGTAAAAGACGTCATATCCGTTGAAGGAACAAGGATTCTCAGGATTTCTCAGGCTCGAAGGTCTGAGTTCTGGTGTTTGGGCTCAGAACATGCATGGCTGCGTCAGCACAGCACAAGCACAGCTGCACCGCCATGCCACCTCCTGCTGCGATTTGCAGTGCTGCAAACGGCTCTTTTCCAGGCTTGTGACCTCTACTTCTCCCCTATCTCTTTCCCGGAATCGCCGCCGGCCTGTGAACTTCGGACGGCACGAGAGTGAGCGCGTGCTTGCTCCTCTGGCCTTTTAGGTCCAAGAACTGCCGGAGCTCGGAGTACACAATTCCTGCACCATCGCAACGATTCTGCACTGCGTCCTGCTGTGATCACCCAAAAAGGCACCTTCAAGCCTCAGCAATGGAAGCTCCTGCAAAGCAAAGGCGCGGTCTGGTGGATTGTTTTGGGTCTTGTTTTTGCTGGCACTGCGGGGTCACTGTCCTGGAATCCTGTTTGAGGCATGTCGACGTCAAGAGCTCCGCTAGCATCCTTGGTCCACCTGGCAGACCCCTTAAAACACCCGAAAAATACCGGTTGATCTCCGATCACATCGAAGACTGCTCCAAAATATACTGCGTGGCCTGCGTGTGTCCAGAACTTTGCTGGGCTGGCCGCGGACCTGTGAGAGTCACACTGCAGGTGGCCGTGCATGCACTGTCATCGGCAAGAAGCAAAAGTAAGGCCCTGCAGCGGTCATGCGGCTTGCAGTCGTATCTTTTCTGCACTCTCGCGGTCAGTAACAGTGAGGTTCTGGTTCAGCCTTGGCTTCAGTATGATCCGCCCATTGGTGGTGCCGCCATCATTCCAGTGCCTGCCGGTGGAGCCTGTTGTTGGGGGCGGTAGCCCATCCGTGTCAAGAACTCCATATAAGTGCTCTGCAGACCGATTGTTCGATCTTCGATGAGCGCAGCGAAAAATTTGTTTTCTTTAGGCTCACCCTGTCGTATCACGTGCAGCTGCATGTATGGAGTGGGTCGCTCAAGGCGCACCTGTCTAAGAATGTTTGCAATCTTGGTGGACAGCGGGTCTCCCCGAGTACCAACCACGCTTTCTGCCGAGTTGGTGTCAATCTGCTCGAAGGAGCTGACTCCGAAAACAGCCTGCACAAAGCTGGTGTCCACCGACCTTCCGATCCACATGTACATGGATTCCCCATCCTCGAGCAGGTAGACCCCATCCTGCGTCATCGACTCACTAGTCAAGTTCAGCATCTCCGGAAGCTGCACTCGGCCATGCTCATCCGGTGTCTGACATGTCTCAGGCGCATTGTGAATCGCCATGAGCCTTGGATTGAAGAATGCTGCCGTCTGGGAGACAGACAGGGTTTCTAATCGCATCATGATGTAGGTCCGCAAGTCGGCCGAGATGTCATTTGTAGCCCGGAAAGCCGCAGACTTGAGCATGCCCATGATGTAGAGAGGAAGGTATTGCAAGGCTTCCGTCTGACACACATTTCCTGCTTGAACCACTTGTTGGCAGAAGGAGTTGAGCTTATTTCGACCCTCCGTCTGGTTGGTCTTGATTGACTGATCCATGGCCTGGTGGGACATCATCGCTGCACTCGCCTGCACGTCGATGGAGCCGATGATGTCATTGAAGTTGGGCGTGGTCAGTGCGGCCCAAGTGTGCACTCGAATGCGTCGCTCGCCCTCACTGTTGGTGTAGAGCAGGGCACTCTGTACATAGAGCACAGGGTCTGGTGTGACATTATCATCCATATCAATCTGAATGGCAAAGGTCTGGTCAGAATGACAATTGGGAACTACCAGGAGGTCCTGTCCTCGAATGAAAAGGTGCCCGTCAAACTTGGTGATCTTCCAGCCCCGTGAGACACGGACTCTCATGACCGCCTCCCATCCCATGTAGCGTGTTAGCACGTGCACCAGCTCGCTCTTGAATTTCGCCTCAGCTCACAACTCCATGAAGCACTGGCGATCAGAATGCATGTTACACAAACCTCTTTGCCAAGGTGCAAAGCACGTATTGATGTTGAACTGAGGATAATAGTGGACATCACCGCCCGTGTACTTTGCAAGTGGGCAAATGGATGCCAAGTCCATATAGGCCTGGGGGGCCAGGAACAACTCGACGGAGATTTGCGCAGGAGTCAGCTCCTGCCAGAAAGACATGGGCCTATAAGGTCCTTTGGGGGATCTGACGGTCACGGTCTCTGTCCTGCGCCAACTGCTTGTACCCGTCGTTCCCTCCGAAAGGCTAGAGCAAGCACGGAAAAACTTGGAGACTCTTTGCGCTGCATTCTCTTTCTTTAGCCCAGACGCCAGCAGGCCGCAGCAATTCCACTTCGCGGTCTGTGCCAAGCAACCTGATTCGCGACTGCACAAGAACTGACGAGAAAAGGTGAGAGATGCCTTCCAGAGAAGCTCCCACCTTGGGTTATCTCGGGTCGACTTCAGCGCCAGCTCGCCCACGCTGGGGATGCAGGCACCGAAGACCAGAAGTTTGCCACCGATATGCTTCATCGCCTCACAGAGCGCCGAGAGCAGAGCGCTGAGGGAGGGCATCTCTTGAAATGAGCTTTGAAGATCGGGGTTTCTTATTATTTAGGGACTGAAAGCGAGTGGCCATGAAGGCTCCACGCACCGCGGAGCCCAGGCAGGACTCGTTGACTTTAGTCTCGCCAAAAATTGATGGCAAGGAGTCCAGCAAGTTGAGAATGGCAGCCTCACTCTCTGCTAAGGGCACGAGGATGTCGTCTGGCAAGGGAAGGAAAAGATCTTCAAGGTCTGAAACCACAAGCATCTGTGGCTGGCTCAGATTGGAATTCAAGTTGTAGAAGTGTAAGCTGGTGTCAAAGGTGATAATGCCCACCTGGACACGCTGACCTCCAGGAATGCTGCCTGACTGAATGGCCTCCTTGATGCTTGCCACAACGGTGTTCAACAAGCCCGTCACCACTGAGGTGTACGAGACATCGATCACGAACATGAAGACGGGAGGCTGTGGAGGCCTCACCATGTACTCACCCGGTGCGATGTACTCGACTGCACCTTTGTGCAGCTCGGCGCGCTGGAAGCGGTCCATACGCTTGCCTGACTCGTCCAGGCTGGCATAGTACGTGTCCGGTGTCAGCTGAGAGAAGCCACAAAGGTTGCAATTCCAGCGACGGCCGTTCGCCTCCCACTGCACAAACGGGTTCACGTACGTTCGGCACTGCTTGCATCTGACGATCGTCCCCACAGCACCAAAGTTCACTGCAGGGACCTGCTCCACATCCGGAGCCAAAGGTGCCAGGGGTTGCAAAACAACACCCAAGGGGATGTTTAACCTCTGCTTGGCACTCGCTGAGTTGGGCAGTCTTGAAACTGAACAACGAACAAAATGAGCTGGAGAGTTGAAGGTTTCCACATCACGCAGAAATTGTGCAGAATATGCATCTTGTCCAGTGCTTGTCGGCTGCATCCCGCCATGTCCGGGAGCACCTGGCGCACCTGGAACAGAAGAATCCGCTTGAGGGTAGAGACCTCGTGCTTGTGCTGTTGCAGCAGCACCAAATGCTGCTGGTGGCTCTGTGTGAGCTGCCGCACCCATGCCTGTTCCAGGAAAGGTCGAAGCAGCTGGAGTCGTTCTCATCTGATCCACTGTGGGTGGAGGTGGCACGTTCACTGGGGCAGGGCCTGGTGGACCGCCCATGGGCGGTGCGCCTAGAGGTGGCCCAGCCATGGGCGGCGCGCCCATGGGTGCCCCTCCCATGGGAGGACCTCCCATTGGAGGTCCGCCCGCTGCAGGTCCGCCTGGAAACGCCGTGGTCGGGGGTGCTCCGAAGGCCGAAGTGGGCGGAGCTCCACCGGCGGGACCTGCGAAGGGGCTGGCTCGGACATTGCCAGCAGCCGCGAAGGGGCTTGCGGCGGCAGGAGCACCGGCCGCTCCGGGAGGCCCAGCTGGATATCCGGGGCTGTAAGGATGCATGCTGCCTACCCCGCTTGAGCTACAGCTATGTCATGAACATCGCAGATGCAAGTGCGAAAGACATGAGATCACTGTCACAAGTGGGTGCTGACACTAAGTAGCAGACCAGAAATGGCATGCTAAACCGCTGTTTTCCCGAGTCCTGTGCAGCAACCGAAGAGAGATAGGAGCTCCTAAGCACACGACGGCCTCACAGCAGACACGGTGTCTGCAAGCCACGTATGCACCCCTTGTCAGAACCTGCCCAATCAGGGCGGTCGTCGTGGTCTCGCGATGTCAAGCTCGAAGCCTCCAGGAAGTCGCCGACGAATGCGACCAAGTGACCCTGCGACAGTCCTGACCTTTCACAATCTGAGAGAGACGAAACGATCCGGTGACTGTACTGCCTAAGAACCCCACTCCACATCCAACCAGGGCAGTCCAGGGCTTTCAAGATCCCGGAACTGCAACCTCACGAGAGAGCAGCCGCTACGCCGCCACGCTCCACCCTCTTGTCCGAGTTTTCTGCCCGGGAAGAGAGCCCACGGGCCTCGGACTCGAAGAATGAGCCTTGAGTCTTTGCCGGCCCGGGCCCCAGGGCCCCAGGGCCCCAGCGCGAGGGTCAGGAAGGAGGCATCCGTGTGCTCGTCGAAGACAACTGCCCACAGACGGATCGGCAGCGCGGCACACTCCAAGCCCAAGTGCCCCAAGTGCCTGATTCCAGCTCCGCTGCGACCTCCGAGCCCTTCCGTCAGGCTCTAAACTCACGACGCATGAAAGGACCTGACGGGTCAGAGGCCTCGAATTTGGCCTCGGCTTCTTCGGCTTCGGCCTGGAAGCCGTAGCTGCAGAGACCTCGGAAAGATGGCTCCAGGCCCCAAGTTGAAAGGGGCCCCGGGCGAGGCCCCCGCGCAACACCGACGCGCTGCAGTCGCCGTCCTCTCTGGCAAAAATTGACAAACAGCTAATGGACAAACCGCAGCAGGTCGCCTCTAAGTTCGAAAGCGAGGCCTCGTCGAGGCTCCTCGGCACAGCGTATACAGCGTCTCGTGGAGATGCGCCCGGGACGAAGCCTCCGAGGCCCGGGGCCCCCGACTGGAGCAGCGCCTCGGGTGGAATTTCCAGAAACTCCGCCATCCACGTGATCAAGGACCTCGCCAAGGCCTCACGTACACGCGCGTGCACGGGGGCGCACGCAGAGATGCTCTCTCTCCGAGGCAAAGCCTGCAGAGACTGGTGCAGCTCGGCTGCTCTGCGGCCCAAAGCTGCGGGAACCTGCCCACAGGCCACCGCCCCGAAAGACATGTCCGACTCTGCTGTCCCCGCCTTGGGTGCAGGAAGGCCACCACGCCCCGCAGCACGCGCATGCACCTTTTTATAGAAAGACCCAACACCCAAGACAAAAGGAGAAAAGGCTCCGATCTTCCTGTCGCCTCCAAGAAGCGCGCGGACCCCCCTGCCAGCTCACGGTAGCCCACCACCTCCGACGAGCTTGCGCGAGTGTTTCTTCAGCAAGCACAAAGCAGCTCAGTTTAAGACATCATCAGCTACAAAAAATTCGAAGTCGCACGCCATCTCTGTGCTGTCTCCGAGCGTGCGCTGAGGTAAGGAGGATCGCCTTCTAGGGCAGCAAAAAGCCGAGCACTCAGGCCTTGTCCCGGTAGAGGCGCAGTCGGCCAAGGGCACAGCGCTCATTGCGGGGCCGTCGGAAGAACTAGCAAAAGTCGGCACACAACACCGTCCTATCAACGGCACTCACGGAACACCATGTTACTGGGCCTCTTGGGCCAAGTCCTGCATCTCTGCGCAAAGGCGCTTCAACGAATCTGGCAGCTCCTATCGGGCAAAAAGGGGAGCCGGTGGCGCAGCGGAAACGGACCGCCCCCCCACCATGAGATGTAACCTGGGCGTGTATCCCCTCGCAAGGCGTACGGGAGCACGGGCAAACACAGGTGTCTCTTTTGTTACAAGCGCACAGCTGTAGATCAGCACTGTGCTAGAACCTTGAGCAACACAAGTGATGCGTGAAACAAACACGCACCTGGATCTGTAGCATTCAGTGTTTCAACCAGGAACGAATTCAAAAACACGTAAAGCTGCATGGTCGTGAAGTCGGCATTCTACATTGCCGGTTATTGCCCAAGAATGAATTATGAGCGGAGTGACATTGAGCTACGAATGTGGAATCCTTACAAACTATACAACCTGCCTGTACATACTCTTCCTGGAGACAGCTTCCTGAAAAACAGCGGAACACGCACACACAAACTGGATTTTGACTCAAACTGATTCAGCAGTTTTGCCCACTTGATCAATTACCTCTCCGGGGAAAGCATACTGAATAAAGAGCAGAGCTTAGCTCCGGTTGTTGCCAGCGATGGCACATTGCGGCTCGAAAAATGACAGAGTATCTTTTCACAGTTGACGAACGAAGAGATTCGGCATCAGTGGAGGAGGACGCTGACGAACCCGAACTTGGTCGTAAACTGGCTGTTGTTCCGACTCGGAGTCGGCATCTAGTCACCTAGTCACTACTTTCGTTTGTCATTGCCTTTGTCTTTGCCCTTGGAGCCTTTGGAGGACTTGCCTCCCTTCTCGGCGGAGTTGACACCACGCTTTCCACCTTTTGGGGGATGCGCGGGTTCTGGAGGACGTTGAGAACCGCGGGAACCAGTGCCAGAGGCTGCCTCTCCCTGTGGCGAGCTTCCGCTTCTGTCTCTCTTTCCTTCTGTCCGCTGCATCCTTGACACTCTCAGGATTCCGATTCATAGCCGTGTTCGCATGAACCTCAACAACAAGTGGAGTGTGGCTACGGGTGTCCTGGTCGTTGAGTCAAGAAGAGTTGAGGACCCATTCGGACACGTTGACCTTGAGCTCTTTCTGTCCTTCAGTCACATTGGCCCATTGTTCATCATCCATAACCCGTCCCCACTCGAACACTGTAGCGATCATCGGGTCCAAGGTTGGAAAAGTGTTCCAACCCGGTTGTGAGCAATCCTCGAGCTGACCCTCACACTGCTTGACATTGAGCAAGCAGAGACAATTGGCGGTCACATGTTGTACCTTTGGACAGCATAATTACGGCAAACACTTTTCGCTCTCGGACCACGCCTCCAAGAAGTAGATGGAGAAGGGTTCGGACATCCGCGCTTTTGTGCTCGAGATGATGTCAAGGCTTATCGAAAGGGTCAAAGAACTTGACGCTCAGCGCAATCCAGCCACGAGGGAAGAGCTGATGAACTACACGCGTCATCTATTTCTTTCATCTGCTGTGGATGAAGAGGAGATCGGGGACTTGTCACTGGACAAGATGCCGTGACCACAACTCTTTCGCTCTGGTTTTACAGAAGATGCACCTGTTCTGGTGTACACAAGCAAAACAAAGTATGCTGCGCTGGTTGTCAATCTCGGCGACTTCTCCCGCGGCCGCAAGCAGTCAGCGCTAAGCATACTCTCAGACAGTATCGACTGGGGTACCTACAGGAACGAGCCGCGGTGCCCTGGACAAGTCCATCGCGATGAAGATCAACGATGACGAGATGAGTTTTCTCTACAGTCGTGGATGGCAAACAATCCGCAACAAAGGTGGAGGTCGTCTTTTCGGTTGTCCTACAAACAACGTGGGTTCAACTATGGTACAGTTGGTGCTCGACACTGGTCGAGGTAGCCCGCCATAATCTCCCACGCTCATACATGATTGTTGAGATCAGGTACGGCGAGACACTTCCTGCAGGACAGAGTGGCATCCGTGGAGAATTTCCTGATGCTTCTCTAGCAGCACCGTTGACCAGAGCTGGCAGCTCTTCTATCAGAGTTTGCGTCTTTCATCTGGAAAGCGGTGTTGCTGTTGGCAAGGTTTCCCTCGCCCGTGGAGCGCTCGCCACGATGTTTACAGATTGCCTGAAGTATCAGGTGGATCTTATCGGAGGAGATGCCAATATGGCAGGGGATGACGATCGTCGAGAGTAGCAATGTATATCGGGTCCATCTTGATCAACGAGTTGAAGAGCTCAGCTTCGCTGCGAGCATACTTCTGTTGAAGATGTGGAGGAGCCCAAGCACGCCACCTCATGTGCTGCACTTTCAGGGCGCCGACATGATTCGTCCTCACCGAGTCATGGTAAACGTACATCTGATCGGCCAATCGCATAATAACTGGACTGGTCCGTTCGATTGAATGGTGCTTCTCGCAATACTCGGCGAACTCCGGAGTCGATAAAAGTCCCCTCCTTTTCCTTCTGGGCCTCCAGGTTGTCGTTTTCAGCCTCCGCGGTGGAAGCAGTCCTGGTGGCCTCAGCGAACGGTCTTAATTTTCCCGAAGATGCCTTGATCATGTAGCCCTTCGTCTTCATCTTCTTTGACATCTTTCTCGGGAGAAATATCAGGCATGGATTCCTCACCCTGGGGTGAGCTTTCCTTTGCCTTCTCGTCGCCTTGGTCGGGTCAGCCATCTTACCCTGCGGTAAGTCCGCTGGTGGGTCCTTGGAACTGCCAGAGCTGGGACTTCCTCGATCGTAGGTCCAGGAAGGCTCTCGAGGAACTCTTCGCCCGCGATGTCTTCATAGGGCCTCGTGCAAAGCTCCTCGAAGACTTCGCTGACGACCCTCATTGACTCATAGGAGGCCAACTCCTTGAGCGCGACTTTGCTTTTGCGTTCCTTCTCTGAGTCCCTGGAGAATATACGGTCCATTGAAGGTCTGCTTCAGCGAAGAGTCGTAAAGCTGATAGCCCTCTTCTGTAGTGACCATGGCGGACCTCCGAGTCGTTCGACTTTTTCTCGAGGTAGGCGAAGAAGTCCTTGCTATAGGCCTCGGAGATCACCAGTGAGAGAAGAGAAGTCGTCCTTGACATAGACAATCTCGAGAACCCTTTCCCTGGAGAGCACTATACGCCTCGAGCTTTTCAGCATAGTCGGGGCCATCGGACTTAGGCTTCTTGTCGCGCTTGTCATCCGGCAGAGGGCGAGGGCATTATCGTCAAGTCAGTCAATATAGAAAGATCTAACATAATATAAATGCCGATAAGTCTATCAAATTTGCAACGCAATCTAAGTTGCAAGTTTGTCCAAGGAATACAAGAAGCTGCAAGACGTCGCGAGACCCTCCTTCATCTATGAGCGAAATTTCTGGGCTTTGGGAGGGCGGGAACCAGAAATTTCTACGGCCTGGGTCCCAGGCCGAAGCCGGACTGCAGGGGAATCAACATGTTTCACAAACCCATGGAAACAAAAAGCGCCGATCCGTAAAACGCTGGAGCCGCTCACCGTTTCTTTGCAATGACGGAGTGGGCGCAAGGCCAAGTAGGAGGACCGAGATGCCATGGACAGACTGCAATTGCTGTCTCATCAGTCTCAAGCGGGCCCGAATGCCTCTTGAGCAAATTGGCCATTGACGTCATTGTAAGTGCAGTGCAGTGGTCGGTCCAGGTTCGGGCGAAACCGTTTTCTTGGCCTTCTTACACGCAGGCTATATACAATCCACTCGCAGGTACTCTCTGAGTGACGCTCGCAGAAGCTGTTGTGCATATTCTGAGCGTATACACGCCACGTTTCGTCTTACAACCTGTAGCGCCTTCAGCAAACCCGTTGGTGTCTACTTTGAAAAGCGTCTGCTTTTTGGTCCGCCACGAGCCGCAACTCTTTGTTAGTAGTCTCCCTAATCTGCGTTTACACGTAGCTGTCCTAGGATGGCCAGGCTGAAAGCAGCTTGCTTCTAGCCCCGCAAGGCAACGACCTGATTGTTGTCACGACAGGAAAGGAAAAGTGCTGTTTATTTTGCAAGCCACTTAGCTGAAATTGCCTTTATTATTGTCACAAAGCAGTGGCGCTAACGATCGTACACCAAGCGAGCAAAGCGAGCAAGGCAAGCAAGGCGGAGATCGAGCCAGAGTTTAATGCCGTAAATACAATCACACAGGCAAGAGGCAACACAGGCACTACCCTGAGTGCAAGCGGACCTTTTCCTGGACTACACTAAAGGGTGAATCTTGAGTGATCGTAGCTGCAAGTGAGACAAAGTTGGCATGAACCTACCAAGCTGCCAGAATGTACGTGTACATGAGTACATGACAAATCACACCCCCCTCGACGCGAGGCTCACGCGTGAGAGAAGCGGAGTATATAACAGTATCATAGTACTCTGATCGTACATCGAGCCATACCTCTCAGTTGAACGCTTCACAAGGACTGAGCACCTCAGGCATGGGTCGACTTCTGGCTCTTGGACATACCTATGTCTCACGCTGTACATTGCAGCATGCGAGACGTGGGGACTGTATCGGCGCGCATGTAATCGCGACACATCAGACAGCTCCCCGCTTAGTATTAATCGCATCGTTATCGGACTTGCGCAATTGCAATAGATCGATGCGCTCAGAGCAGCAGCACGGCAGCGTCGAGTGTCAGTGAAAAGAGACAGACACACGAGGAAAATACCATGGCTAACCATTGTACCCCTTGGTCTTCTCAGCTTCGGCGATGGACAAGGAATGCTGAGGAAAATGATGGAAATGATTTCACGCCACCGCTTCACCATCAGATCCGAGGACAGCAACGACCGCGGGTGTGTCGGATGCTCACACAAGGATCAACCGGATCCGCTTAGCATGATATCATGCTTCATCACAGACTGGGAATCGGTCGTCGGTCTGCTGGGCTACGATTACGATCGACATTTCCTCCTCGCCCTCGATCTTTGCCTCCTCGGCACTGACCTGGGTTGCTGCCAGGTCGTGGCCCTCTCTTTCCTCTTCCTTTATCGGATTTTCCTTTGCTCTTTCCTTTTCCTACCGGCTTAGGAAGGCGCGTGCTCGTATGATCATCAATGAGCCCATGAGCGCCAACTCGCTGTTTCCGTCCTGGAGGGTGGAGGTGGGCCAGCGTTATCATGCGCCCGACCAACGCGAAACCCTCTCGGCGGTGCGGCGGTGTCTCCTCCATCTGTGCTGTTCATGACAGATCCGCCAAAGAAACCCGCCGGTGATCTTCCTCGTTCAGCCGGATTGGGAGTGGGTCTATTCAAAATCTGAGACCACTCTGATCCTTTGCGAAACTTTGATGGCTGGGCAGATGCTGTACGGAAGCCTCCCGGATTAATCTGTTCGGAAGGAGCCGTTGACGATGGTGCCGGGCTACGCCTCGATGCATCCCTGCGTCTTGGTCCTGAAGAAGATCGGGCATCCTGCATCGGCTCTACACCGGCATTATCCATGTTAATGGGATCATCGGGATCTGCATTGAGAAGTGTAATCAGTTCTCTTGCCCTGTTCATAACCATAGGGATCTACCCATGCATGTGAATAGCGCAGTAAAGACCGCGAATCGTGACTGGTCCAAGGATATCACCATTAATCTCAGATTCATTCCTGAGAGGCAGATCCAAGTTCTTAGCATCGGCGTACGCGGACCCACTTCCTTCAATGGGGACTGCATTCAAGCTTGTACTTCTTCTTGAGGGTTTCTACTGTACGATCAACATGACCTTCATGACCACCAAGTAACCCGTCATCTACATGCACAGTAGCTCCTTGATCAACACCACCGTAGACAACAGGACAGGCTGCATTTCCTTTCAACCCGCACTCATTGAGATCACCGGACAGCTCATCATGCCAGTACACTGGAGCCAATTGCTGTCCAGGCAAGCACTTCCACACTCTATTGACCATCAAGACGGATGCACAGCTCCTCTCTTTGCCTCACCATCAAGAACGCATCTGATAAGTCGAAGGATCGAGCACCCAATTGGGAGCGCTGACAAACATGTGAGGCAACAATCTCAGCATTGACGGACACGTCGAAGGAGCATAGGTGTCTTGCCTGAAAGGGTCCCAAACTTTCAACTGCTTGCGCAGCACGACGTAGCCAGTGTTGCTTTCGGAACCGCCAGTCATAGACATACCGGCACTTCAGAGTCTTGTCTTCCGGTGGGTCAATGTCCACCAGCTCCAAGACTCCCATATCAATGAGCCTCGTCTCGCTGAGTCTGGACTCAGCTTCCACTTTCTCCAGCTCCTCGGGCGTCAGGATGGGCGGACCATCTTCTTCACCTTGGTCTTCCCACCAGACTTCTGGATCATTCTCTGGTGTGAAGTCCATCCAATCATCATCATAGAACTGGGCGTCAAACTCCACACCCTGCCACCAAGACTCCAACAAAGTAGTTCTCTGTCCCTGCACAGACAGAACGGATCTTCTTTGAAGGTTGTTCTTTAGATTCTGGAGGTTCACTCGGCACGGGTACCTCACGTTTCTCACCACGTTCATCAGAGGGCACTGTTATTTCAGCACCAAGACCGGGGCTCTCGGACATCAGTGAACTCGGGGAAGATTCTTCACCTTCTTCACGTTCATGTTTGGATCCCCTTGGATCCCCTCCTCGCTTGTCATCGGATGACAGCTCATCAGAGCGCCCTTCCTCAGTTGGCGGATCTGTTCCAGCCTCATCGCCAGGACTCGCAGCAGCAGGTGACGGTCAACTTCGAACCCATAGTCGTCAACCCATACTTCCATGGCTTGCCTTAACTTCTTTAAGCATGATGCGACCCCACTGTTGCGACTCTGGTAGCCGCTTGATCGTTGCGGACAAATACACTCCAAGTGCGGTGCTAATCATTGCTAATCACATTCAAATCGTTCAGCATGGTTTTCCCCAAGAACACACCCTTAGCAAACTTCGGCCGGCCTTTGCGTCGATGCGGTTCTGCGAGAGAGAAAAGAACCGTCTCGCCCCACATTGCCAGCCGTCCACTGTATTTCACCTGAAATGAGCGCTCATACGGTGTATTCCCTGCACTCACCGCGTAGTAATTGTGCAAAGCTGAAGCGTAGATGTAGGACCAAGGGATCAACTCTGGGTTCGAACTGAGAATGAATCCACTCTGCTGCACTTGATGTAACAGAGTGCTGCCGATATCCCTCACACTCAACACTGCTTGTTCAGCTGCCCCATTGGTTTGAAGGAGCTTTGCGAGTAGACAACCCAGCCTTAGTCCTTGCTGCAACAATCTTGTCACACACTGCAACCATAGGGCCATAGGTGGTTCGTTGTCCCCACGAATCTCAGCTTCCTTGCGACCTCGCTGTGGTAGCTACTCGCTGTACAAGTCGGCAAAACGCAGTATCGGCACGCGTGGCGGACACTACGATGCGAGACGGGCC